ACCCGACCGGGGCTGCGGCGGAACTGCTGGGCACTTGGGCCTGTCACCCCGCCCTGCCGCTGCCCCCTGAATTCCACCCCACCCGGCGCTCAGCTACCCACCCTTCCTGCCCGACTTCCTGCCGCCGCCTGTCCCTTAGCTTCACTACCGAGAACTCCTGCCGCCCGGTTCCTGCTCCGCAGAGAGGCCCAAGCCAGAGGGGAAGAAGGTCGAGGCCCCGGAAAACGACGACGGTCGCCCACACTTGCGGTTACGCGGGCTGTGGCAAGACCGATACCAAGAGTGCTCATCTCAGGGCCCACCTGCGGACCCACCCACCGCTGAGAGAAGCTACGCCACTGCGACTTAGAGGGCTGCGGTGAACTAAGCAGGTACTGCCGGAGCACACCGCAGCTCCCCTTCTTGCCAGCAGGGCGACTGGGCCTGCTCCAGCTCGGACCACCTGGCCTACCCACGAAGTGGCACTTTTAATCCCAGGGTGGACACGACCTGCACTGCCAGGAGAGGATTCAGTATTTTTTAAACCTTTCACACCGTCCTCCCACAAGGGGTGAGCCCAGCTGGCAGATACTGAAGTCAGGGCCAAGTTCCTAGCAGGCCAGCTTGTGAGTGGATAATCAGGAGAAAGGAGAGACTCAAAAGACAAAAAAATCAAAGGACACGTGGAGTCTGTGACCGGATCTTCTATCATTCCAGTTCTAAGTCCAACTTGAACATGCCCAGACTTACAAAACGCCATGGGAGAGACTGGAAGTTGCTGTGGCTATCAGGGTATCTTTGAGGTGGGGAGGTGGGAAGGTGGGAAAGAGCCGGATTTGGGGGTGGGGGGATTGAGTGTGTTTTGAGACAGGGTCTCACGATTAGTTCAGGCTGGCTTTGAACTCACTTTGTAGCCCAAGCTGGCCTCACAGTGACTCCTCCTGCCTCATCCTCCCTGGATACTGGGACTACATACAGTTGTACACTACCACGCCCAGCTAATTTTTTGTGGAGTTTGTATTTTGCATACTCAAGGTGAAAAATAAATTCTAAATAAACCTATAATATTTTATCTGAAAAAAAAATCCTCAGTATCTCATGTATTAAGAGCTGGGGCATTGGGAAGGTGACTGGGTCACAGGAGTGCTACACTCCCGATTGCACTTGTGCATTAAGTTCACAGCTGGAAGGCTATATCCTTGTCCCTAGTTCCTGCCTTCTCTCTCCCTCTCTCTCTCTCTCTTCCTCCCTCCCTCCCTACCTACCTCTTCCTTCTCCTCCCTTTGTGCAGGCATACGTGTCTGTGTGTGTGTTTTAATGACGGTTTTAACACCCACACATTGCTTCAGGTCACTGGGCAGGTCCCCCGGGGTGGGGAGGGCTGGTGTGCGAGTGACAAGCGCCTGGGAGGG